TCCTCTGACCTGACACGTATACTGTGCCAGAACCCACATGATGGAAGAAGAACAGCTCCCGGAAACTGTCTCCTGACCTGACATGTATACTGTGCCATGCCCTCCAACCTCCCTATTAAATAAAATTTTCAGAAAAAGCTATTGTATGTTTTGGGGGTTCAGGGAAGCTAAGAACTAGGAATAAAGAGGTCCTGATACCCCTTTGGCTTGAAAGCTGGTGTGTGTTCTTTCTTCCCATCCTTTATGCCGAGACATGAGATTAAACTCCCTCCTCTCCTCCTTTAAAAGGGGAAAGTCCTGAAACATAGAATTAGCCACTTACTTTAAAAGTTATCCGTTTAATTTTATCGTTTGACACAAGATTCCCTGTGTTGCCCATTCTGGCCTCAAACGCCTGGGCTCAGGTATTCCTCCTGTCTCAGCGCTCACACCAAGCTCAATTATACATTTAAAATGTACAAGCCACGGGCATGTATGCTCACAGTGCTGGGTAGTCATCGAAAGTCTGGTACCCAGAAATCAGTCACATTCCAGTTCCCTTTCTCCCAGCTTCTAGAATTCCACTTTCCTTTCCCCCAGTGTCTCGAAACCACTGGACTTGTATTACGTTTCTTTGACTTTCCTGTTCCAGGTATTTCATATAAATAGAAAGATACAATAGGTAGCCTTTTGTATCTGGGTCTTTTTGGTACTTGACATAGTATTTTCAAGGTATCAGGACTGTGTCTTTTTTATGGCCGAGTTGTATTCCACAGCATGGATGTACCGCATTTTGTTTACCTCTTATCTACTGCTGGATAGTCTGGTTGTTTTCCCACTTGTGAACTGGGCTGCAAGGTTCATTTATATATAAGTAATTAGTTGGACACATGTTTCCAATTCTGTGTGGTATTACTGAAAAGAAAATGCTATAGTAATTCCATATCTAGATTTTTGAGGGACCATCAAGCTACGAAAGCGTGATTACCGTTCATCTCTGTTCTTTGCCTTCACAGATCTTCCTTGACTTGTCCTCACTGCCTGAAACAAAGCAACACCTTCGACCCCTTCCTGTGTGTGTCCCTTCCCATCCCCTTGCGCCAGACGAGGTATGTGGGTGCCCTGAGTGTTGTGGCATGCCCGCTCTACTTGACCCGTTATACCTTTTTCCTGGGCACTTTCTGGTCCTGTGTCTGCCATTTTTCACTTAGTGTTTCTCTAGAGACCAGTCTTACGAATCAGGTGACCTCAGGTATTGAATGGGCACTTGAAGAGAAAGGCGTGCCCATTCTTTATCTGAGGCACAGGATGCTTGTGTGTGTCCATGCTGAGTCCACACTGTGTCCTGACTTGGGTCTCTGGCCTACTCAGGAGCTGGCACAGGTCCCACTTCAGTCAGACAGGGGCATCTGTTGCCATGTGCTTTTCCCTGCTGTATGCTCTTTCAACATCCTGTTCCTTCTTTTTTAAATAAAGGTATGGGAAGTTTTTCTTTCATTCATTCACTCATTCTGTAGCGCAAGCCTTTTTGAAAATTAATTAATAATCAATTAACTAATGACAACATCTCATCCTGTAGCCCAAGCTGGCCATCCCTCTGCCTTAGCCTCCCAAGTGCTGGGTCTGTAGGCATGAGCTACTTACTGTACTTGACTATAGGGAAATGATTTCATGAAGGAGCAAAGGAGGAGAAAGAAAAAAGGCTTGTGTGATACAGATGAGAAGAGAGCCCACGTTGGAGTGAGTGAGCGAGCGGTGAGCTGCTGTGTCTGAAAGCAAGGGACTGGCACGACAGCCCCTTTCCCAGAAGCCCTTTTTGCCATCCACACAGCTGGCCAGGCCAGCGCCCTGGGGGAAGGTTGGCGAGTGTGCGCGTGTGAGCCAGTATGGGCGCAGAGATGAAGGTGTTTCTTCACTGTGCGCCCACCTTCCTCAGCCCCATCTCCTAGCTCTTGCTGTCAATGTCTGCATGTTTAAGGTCCAGCAGTGCCCAGGGCTCCTTCACAGAGCCACATCCGACAGCCTCGGCTCCCTCCGCTCAGAGCTGCCATGCCTAAGTGCCACTGGCGTAACCATTACACAGTAACACCAGTTATACTGCCACTGACGGCGTCAGAAAATGGAGGCTGTTCCCGAGGAGTCTGAACTATGAGGCTTCCAAGGTTCTGATCCCAGCTTGTGACCTGGCTAGTTACTGCAGCACAGCAGTCGGTCTCCCCCAGGAGTGGGCTCTGGGACTGTGAGGGGAGGCAAAGGAGGACATTTTCATTGAGGAGAAATTCACCAGTAAGGTCCATTTCTTCTAAAAGAAGCAGCGTAGCCATTTTGTTTAATAAAGTGCAGGGGGCCGTTGTGTTTGGTTTTTCTTAAATACTATTTGTTTAACTGTTACAATCATGAGATCAGAGATCTCTGTGGTGTGATTGCCACTCAAAACCCTTTTATGGTTAAAGATCTGGAAAAGCAGTTTGGGCGATTTGTCTCTTTCCTGCTGCCTAGTGGCAGGGCACCTCAAGTGCAGGGACCCAACTAGCAAATCATGTTTAAGGGCTAAGCCAGTCCCTATGGTGTTGGTAACAGTTCCTGTCAGCCCTTTAAGGATTTTGGCTCCCTTTGTGTTTTCCAGATTCTTGAGTGTCACTTTGGTCTTCCCTTCTAAGAGCCAGCGGTTCCTGCGGGTTGGCCTGGCTGTGCCCATCCTTGGCACAGTGGCAGCCCTGAGGAAGATGGTTGCAGAGGAAGAAGGCGTCCCTGCAGAGGAGGTGTGCTGGAATGGCTGGGGCCTGGCCACTGGGTGACAGAACGCTGCCTGGGCCAGCTGCCCAGATGACTCCAGCATGACTCACTGGCTTCTGTTTGATTAGTGGCCCCCTGGTGTCTGTGGTGACCTGCCCTTGACTTCTCCCTGCCTTATTAACAAGGAGACACTTTGCCATTCGGAAGGTGATGGTAATTGCGATCCAGCAGCAGCTAAGTGCAGGGTGCTGCTCTTTGCTTGTTCCTCTAGTTGTGTGTCTCTCCCTCCCTCCTTTCCCACCCTAAGATAGGGTCTCACTCTGTGGTTCTGGATGGCCTGGTACCCCTATACACCATCCAGAGTGGCCTTAAAATTGTAGCCATTCTCCTGTCTCAGCCTCCCCAGTGTTGAGACTGCAGGCATGCACCACAGTACTCGGCCCATCCCATGAGTTAATCCTCTCCGGTCTTGTAAAGAAGATACTGCAGAGGTCTTTATTTTGGAAATGAAGAAAAGGGTTCAGAGGGGTTAAGAAGTCCAAGGCTACACAAGCAAGGAGGTGGCTAAGCTGGGATCAGAATGCACGTGGTTTTCACGTGGTTTTACGCTTTCCCGATCCTCAGAGGGAGGCTCAGTGAGATGCAGACACTACAGGTCAGTGACAGAAGGGAAGATGGAGAAGGCGGATAACTCTGTCCTGCCTTGAGACTGCCTCCCTGTGTAGCCCAGGCTGGCTTTGACCGCATGCTTTTCCTCCCTCAGCCTCCCAAGTGCTGGGATGACAAGGCATGTACCACCAAACCTGTCTTTGTCTTATTTGTTTATTTTATTTTACTTTTTGAGAAAAGATATTTCTCTGTAGTTTAGATTGGTGTGGAACTCACCACGAAGCCCAGGCTGGCCTCACCCTTGTGGCAATTCTCCTCCCTGAGTTCTGGGCTTATACGTGTGAGCTGCCATGCTCAGCTTGATTCTGCTTTTTAAAGAGTCCTGGGAGCTAAGAGAGATGCATGCTGGGCCACAGCTTGCCTTCTTTGCATCCCGCCTGGCCCCCAGGACGTGGGATCACATTTGTGGCCGGGCTTCCCTTTCAGCTAAACCTTTCTAGAAGCATACTCATGGGCGGGCACTTACAGCTATGTTTCCATGGCGATCCCGAATCCAGACAGTTATCACTAACATCACAGAGGGGCTCTGAGGGGGTTCTAGTGGGACGCACCTGTGCCTCAGCTCTCTGACTTGGACTGGATAAGGAATTCGGCAGCCTTCCATTTCTTTAACTATAAGAGCGGGAAATTCGTGCTTCCCAGATAACCTGGTGTAACCTTTTAAAATTAAACAAAAATGTGTCTAAGGTTATTGGCGTTAGTCTTTTAAACTATTTTACTTACACTTCTTAATATCTCTTTCTCCCTTCTCCATCCCAATCCCTCCTGACACCCCAACACCGGGTAGGAGAGAAAGAAGGCTAGTGGGGAGAAGGGGTGTAGTTTCCTTTGGCGACTTCCTGCTGCTCAGGGTCATCGGGTTCCTTGGGGCAAGTCCAATCTTCTTCTCAGGAGATCTTCAACTTCTTTGATGCAGCAGCAGCAGCAGCCAGGAGCAGCCGGGGGAAGCACCAGCAGCCTTCTTTCTCTGAGCCCCCTTCTCTCTGGGCGCTGGCATTTATTCTCTCCAGAGTCCTCAGGTTTAAACTACCTGCAGCAAAGAGTCCCTCTCAGAGCCCACATGAGGTAAATAGTTTGCTGCTGTTGACAATCTGAATCAGTCCCGTATCCTACACCTAAAACAAAAGCCAGTTTACATATCGTAAACCAACGTGTCCACAGCATAAGGTTTTTGTTAAATAAGCCATAATACACAAGCGACAAAGTATTCACATCTTAAGGCTGTGTGTGCATATTTATATAGCCGCCCTGATTACTGAGGCTCTCATTACCCTGCCCTTACCTCCATCTCGAGGATTTTCATGAAACTCTCACACAGGGGAAAACTAGTGCATATTTTCCTTATAAACTCTAGTGCAGCTAACAGGATGGCTCACATGGTGAGCCATCAAGCCTGATGGCCTGAGTTCGATACCATGAGCATATGCAGTAGGAGAGAACTGAGTCTGGAAAGTTCTCTTCTGACTTCTAAACACTTGCCTGATGTTATCTCCTCAAAACAGTGTAAAGATCTTGGTATGCTTCCACTTTCTTACACGGTTGGTTCGGGTATTACTGCAGCTGGTGGCGGGGCATTGGTGGCTCACGCCTGTAATCCAGCACTTGAGAGGCTGAGGCAAGAGAACAGATTCCAGGCCAGGCAGGGATATGTGCTGAGGACTTGTCTGGACCCTGACCCTGACCCCCTCCAAAGAAAGTTATCGTTGATGGTAAGATAGCAGTTGTTGTTGTTCTGTACTTACAATATTTCCCCTTCCTCTGCCTTGGAGGAGGTCAGGGTCATTTTGATGTCTCTCCTTTTTTCTCTCTATCTCTGTCTTTCTCTCTACATGCATACCCTCCTTCTCTTCCCCCTCCTTTCTGTCCACCTTCCCACGGCAATTTCCCTGGCCCCTTGACTTGGGACCAGCAAACCTGCCCTAAAGCTTTATCCATTAAACCTGCCTTTATATAATCTGGTATGGATTAGATCATTTCGATGGTGGAGAATGCACGTAGCCAAATAATATATCAGCAGTTAAACAGTTTTATATAGTCTTATGGTTTGAATGGACAGTGAAGTTTTAAACTTAATGTGTACCATTGCCTTCGATTCTTTTAAAAATATGTTTGTTTGTTTTTTGCCTGAAATATATTTTTTACCAGAACTTCAGGAACTTCCCGATGTTCCTCAAATGGACTTTGTGTAATGTGTATATTGTGGTGCTGCATTGGTTTTTGGGCCACCAGGTTTATTTTCTGTAGTGCAAAGCACTCCTTTCTGTATTCCATGAACATGTTTTTATAGACATGACATTATGTGAGAAAAGTTAGCAAAAAAGTTAACAAAAGTTTTGAAGCCTTCTTAATTGAACACTGTTCATGGAAAAGCAGTTTTTATTCATCCAAAGTGTTTTTATTCTACCTGTGATGTGGTAGGTTAGTTAGGTATAAAACTTTAGATTTTTTAATTTCATGTGTGGTTGCAGTCAAGATATCTGTGGTTAATATTACTGTGTTTGCTATATTTTATGATTTTAAAATACATAGGCACTTGGAAGGAAAGGAGAAATGAGTTTTAAGACTCGAGTTTTTATTTTTTAGTTTCATGTTAATTTAGTGTGTGTCTCTGTGTGTGTCTGTGTCTGTGCGTGTTTGTGTGTGCACATGTGTGCATATGCAGTCCAGAGGACAGCTTGCTGGAGTCAGTTCTTTCCTTCTGTCATGTGGGTTCCCAGGATCAAGCTCAGGTCATCAGACTTGGCAGCAGGCACCTTTTCCTGCTGAGCCATCTCGCTGACCCTGTTTTTGAATTCTTATCTGTTGCGTTCTTTTTGAGAAAATGATCCTTCTCCTTTCAGGTGATCTTGGTTGAACTGTATCCCAATGGATTCCAGCGGTCATTCTTTGATGAAGAGGACCTGAATACCATTGCAGACGGTGATAACGTGTATGCTTTCCAAGCCCCTCCCTCACCTGCTCTGGGGACGCTCCCAGGTACAGTAGTGCCTTGCATGCTTTGAGTGACTTTGTCATGACATAATCATGAGTTATGAGTCTCAAGGACTCAGAGTGCTAAGGCAGAAAACCTTAACCTTTAACACTTGGAATTGTTAGGCTCACTTCCTCTGTAGCTTATCTACAGATGACTGATACTAAAATCTCAATGAATATTAGAATTGCCCAGAGAACTACTTACAGCTGCCTGCTGGGCCCCTTCCTCAGAGCTTCTGATTGAGAAGGCCTGAGGGGAAGCTGGAGAATCTGCAGATGAATCTGGAGATCAAGCTGGGACTGATGTTTTCCCTGGGCCACACTGAGGTGCTGCAGTAGTCCTCTTTGCTTCAGTTCATGGCCCTCCCTCCCTGTCTGGAGTTAGATTTCTACCAGCAGAGCTGTAGATAGGCAAAGATATTTCAGAGATGTGTTAATCTCTGACAGGTAAGTGTGGCCTTTTTTTTTTTTTTTTTTAAACCTAACTTTTATTGTACAACTGTGTATATTTTAGCACAATTAGCCAGTTTTAGGAGCCCGTGTTTAAGGACCCCACTGCACGCAGCAGCTCCTGCTTGCCCTAGATTTCTCTTTTGGCATTCCTGTTATCTCCTTCCCTTATGCTCTAAAGACATTAAATGGAAAATTTCAAAAGTTTCTACTGCTAATGTGCGTCTTTGTTTTGTGGCGCTGGGGCTTAACATATGCCGGTCAAATAGTCACTCGTGCCGCAGCCCCATTTAATTGATGGGTGTTAAGTAACCTTTAAGATAGTAACTTACCATTCCATTTCATTGCTTTTTGTCATTATCCTCTCACTGTGCCTGATTTACAAGTCTTTTTATCATAGGCATGGGTAGTAGGGAAAAGCGTAGTATTTCCAGAGTTGGCACTGTGAATGGTGACATGCCACACCTCAGACGAATCCTGCGCTCTGAGCCTACGTCCTTAGGTAGCCTGGGCGTGAGCTGTGGGAAGCAGATGTTTGATGTTTTCTTCATCCACAGGAGAATACTGGGCCATGTAATCTGGAACAAAACACTGATTGACCTTGACTGTGCTATAACTCAGGAAAGCAAGCCCTCATTTCAGAGTCAACCACGGCTAACACATGTTTTCCTTGAAAAAGAAATACCAGTATTTCAGAACTGATTGGAACTAAAGGCTAGGCGAGGCCCTCTCCTTTATTATCCCCAGTAGGGGATGCTCTAAAGTTCTCCTGGATGGAGACATAAAAAGCAATCCTAGTAACTTTGAGGGTGCTTTTCAGATTGCTTTTGAAAATTGCTAAGCAAACCCAGGTCCCGTCCTTTTGAAGTTATTGGCTGACAACAGCTACAAAAATCATATCATATGAATATGGATTTTGTCTGCCCGGTGCCAAGAACATCACCATATTCCCTCAGGGTCCTCTGGTGTCCTTTCCCCAGTGGTGCTCTGGTGTCATTCTCTCCTCCAGCTCAACCCCCTGGTCTATCAGTGTCACCACGCTTGGCAGTTCGAGACAGCCACCGGTTCTTGGCACCTCTCCACGGCGAGAATAGGGTGCTCATCCTCTTCTGCAACCTGGTGGGGTCCGGGCAGCAGGCAAGCAGGTATGTGAGTCTCCCTCCCATGCTCATGTTTTAAGTGGGGTTTGTAGACCTGTGCTTAACAGAACTCCTCCTTCCCTCCCTCCCTCCCTCCCTCCCTTCCTTCCTCCCTTCCTTTGTCCTCTATTTCTCCTTCCCTCTCTCCTTCCTTCCCTTTCTTCATCTCATGTAGCCCAGGCTGGCCTTAAATGCACTAGGTAACCAAGACTGGCTTAGAACTCCTGACCTTCCTGTCTCTAACATCCCAGCGCTGGGATTACTGGGGTGGACCACCAGGCTGGACGCTATGCTTGGATTCTGTCTAGAGTAATTCTAACTTCATAAAATAAGTATCTATTCCCAGCGCTCATAAAGTAGATGAGTGCACAGGGCTTCTGAGCAAGAGGATTTGCTGTAATTGCCTTGAGCAGATGGCTGGGACCATCCTTAATTAAACATCAGAGGCTTCCCGTTAATTGCAGGGGGCAGTTGTGATTGCCCGCACGCTACTACTTCCTGTCATGTCACGAGGACTAGCAGCAGCTGCCCAGAGCAGAAAACGGGCTACAAGCGGAAAGTGAAGCGTAGCCCTACACACCTGTAATGCCAGTTAGTTGGGAGGCTGAGGCAGGAGGATTGTGAGACCAGCCTTGGCTATGCATGTAGCAAGTTCCAGGTCAGCGTGGCTACATGGGAGAGCCATCGCTAGGGGGAAGTTAAAAGCTGGCGGAAGGTTGGGGATTTAGCTCAGTGGTAGAGCTACGTTGGTCCTCAGCTCTGGAAAAATAAGTAAATAAATAAAAACAGAAAAATAAACTTAAAAAAAAAAAGGTGGTGGAAGTAAAGGAAATAAAAAATACCACTGTTTGCTGTTTGACAGTCTGTCCAGAAGACATGACTGGAAAGTGATTCAAACTAATTGAAGGGTTCAGGAAGCCAATTGGTTATGTTATAAACATTCAAAAACAGACAGCTTTCTGATATATGTCAGATTAAGTGTTTGAAAGGAAATTATAACTGTGTGGGGCGATGTAGCCTTCAGATTTGATTATTCTACAATATATACATGCATTGAAACATCGCATCGCATCCTATATATATTATATATTTATCATGTGCCAACAAATGCAGATAAAGTATTTAAAGCATCCTGAGGCTGGAGAGATAGCTCAGTGGTTCAGGGCACTTGGGGCTCTTGCAGAGGACCTGGTTAGGTTGCTCGCATCCCGTGGTGTCTGACCACCTTTCCTAACTCCGCTCCAAGGGGACCCGACATTCTTTCTGGCCTATGCTGACACTAGGCATGCCTGTGCCATACATACATGCATCCAGGTAAAATATATGCACAAACTAAATTGTAAAAGACGTTGAGGGAATTCTAGTGTGGCTCAGTACTGTAGAACGTGCTTCATGTGTACAAGGCCCCAGGTCGACCTCCTGTGCGATGTAAGCAAAATAAAAACACAGTAGGAGTCCTGCTGCACGTGCTCAGGTTGGAAAAAACAGTTCTAAGGTTCACCTGGGAACATAAGTGTGGTGGGGTAACGAGAAAATACTGGGGGAGGAGGGAAAGGAGGGTGAGAGAGGCCGACAATCAATGACGCTGCTACTACTGACTTTGGTTTTTTTGAGATAGGGTTTTACTCTGTAGCCCAGGCTAGCCTTGAACTCCCTGTGTAGCTCAGGCTGACCTCAAAGTCATGATCCTTCTGCCTCAGTCTCCAACCTGACCCTTAGAATCATAGCTGTGTAGTGTGATATAAAACTCAATAAAAAATTAACTGTTGAAATGTTATGACATGGGTAAAAGAATACGAAAACAGTCAGCAGAGCCAAATAGGCCAAGTTATCTTTGGGTATTTACTATATGATAAAATGACATTTTGTAGTCCTAGGGATGGATGAGTCATCCAACAATCAAGGCTGAGCCACTTGCTTTTTTTTTTTTAATATTATTTTAAATCATTCTTTCTGAATGTTTACATAAAAATTCTAAGTCAATTAAAAATGTAACCGCAGAAAAGTTACCACGAACAGCTCCCTGAGAAATCGGTGTAGGTGAGTGTGCTGGCGTTCCCTCGAGTGAGCCCCCTTCTCAGCAAAGCAGACAAAGCAGAACACCAACACGGGGTAGAATTCTTATGTCTGTGAGTAGAAGAGGCTATTTTTAGAGCACATAAAACAGGGAGCCCTGATGGAGGAGGCTTATGTTTCAAAAAAATTAACATTTTAAACTGAAACCAAATGTAAAACTTAAAGGCCAAAAAAAAAAGAGGGAGAGAATGTATGCCTTGGGAATGTGAAGGATTCACATCAATCTTAGGAAACCCAGCTCTCAAAAAGAGAGAAAGAGTCTCCTAGTAAGCTCACAGAAGTATATGCATAGGGTAAAAGATTCAGTGTCGTTGGCAGTGACAGAATTCTCACTGCGTCAGCGAGGTTCTGTTCTAGTTCTTCAGACTGCTAAGGAAATCTACACTACCTGTTCTGAGCAATAATAAAGGAAATTATTGGTCAAGTTGATCAAACAAACAACAACTCTTTATCGGGGAACCTGAGTAAAGGCACTTGCTTTGCTGGTAAGCCGGCGTGGCTTTTCTGTAGGGCATTTTGGAGGTAAGTCAAGTAGCATTGCCTCTGCCTTTCTGTGTATAGGACCTCTACCCCAGGAGAACAATTGCTCACACGTAGTGGAGGGTTGGCTCGTGTCCAAGAATATGTGCAGTTGCTGGCCTGAGCGACATTGTTTAAATAACAACATAATGGAAGCAACCCCGAACGCTCCACCCCGCAGGACTAGGTTGATGAGCTGAGCTGTCTGCTCGGTGGCCGCACAATGCCCTTCCACGCCAGACAGATCCCTTCATATTTGTGCTCAGCTTTGCCAATATTAGTTCAACAGCTTAGCGTTACCCAGTCAGATCTGCTCTCAGCCACAGTGCCTGTGGCAGCGCTGGGGCCCCTAGGTTTATCCGACCAGCCCACTGCTGGACGTTCAGCGGCTTGAGATGAGGAAACCTTGGCAGCAGTGAGAACATTCCTGAGATGGGACACCGGCGTGTTATCCAGGTGCCTTGCTCTGGTTCCCACAGCCCCTTCCTCTGTCGTTCGCTGTGGGAGCCTGTCCCTTGGCACCGTCTGCCCTATAGCTTATGCGTGTAGCCTGTAGAAGCAACTGGCAGTTCCATGTGGTTCTTGGCTCTTAACTGTTCACTAATCCGCTGGAGAGGAACCAGACGGAAGGAAACATCCATGACTCTCACTGGCGTTTGCTCTGTGGAAAGAACTTATTTCCTTGGATTTTCAGGTTTGGGCCGCCATTCCTGATACGGGAAGACAGGACCATCTCCTGGGCCCAGCTTCAACAGTGTATTCTCAGCAAGGTTCGGTGCTTCATGAGGAGCGAGGCCCCTGCACAGGTCGGTTTGTGTGCGTGCATGCATTGGGTGTTTGCTTAGGTATGTGTATAGGTGTGTATGAGTGGACACGCATGCGTGCATGGGGTTTATGTGCAAGGATTTACCACTTTATGGCTTGTGTTGTTTTTAGCTCTGACATTAGGAGAGACACTTTTTACAAGGACCACTGAAATAAAGTTTTTGGGGTATTACTCTCAACTTAGTGTTTTTATGACTTTCCACAGTTGTCGCTAGGGGCAGGCACAGAGTAAGTTGTAGCTTACAAATCTAACATCTAAAAGGTATTGAACTCAGGTTGTCAGTCTTGGTGACAAGTCCCTTTGCCCATTGAGCCATCTTGCCAGCCCTGGTGGTGTTGAAAATTGATAGCTGAGGCTAGCAATATCCATGAGTGAAAATCCACATAATAAAATAAGAGAAGCTGAGTTGAAAAACTCAAGGAAAAAAAAATACTTTCTTGTCTTCCCAAAAACTTTTAAAGAAGTTTGAAGCCCATTGAATTCCAGCTACCATAAAACCTGTGTCAGAAGCCACCCTGGGGGGGAAGGGTTGTGTCCGTAGTCTGAGACTCTTGTTTCAGAAACTGTTTAATGAGAGCCTCTCAGTGGGGTGATTCCGGACCATTTTACAGCTGATCTCTCCCAATGCCTGTTTCTTTCCACATCCCTATCCATTTAATTTAGGGTTTATACCAAAAAGCAACTTGTTAAAGACCTTCGCTGTAGTTGTCCAGACCTTTATGTCTAAGGGATGTGTTTGCCGTACTCAGAGCCTGAATCAGAAGTGAGCTTCTCCACAAGTAGGTCAGGCAATGTAGTGACAGCGGCGGCTGTCCCCCAGACTGTGCGCTATGGACTGTTAAAAGGAGCGGGAGCCGCTTTCATGTGGGCATTCATTTCAGCTGCCTCTTCCTTCCCCGGCTATCCCTGCTCCCTACCCTGTCACAGGTATATACCTCTGCTTCTGGGTCCTTATAGCCTCTTTCAGTGTTAAGAACTAATCAAACCGACAGCGAGGCTAGCGGAATTCCGATGCAGGAAGCCTCAGCTGCCCCTGGATGCTTTCCCTGCCTTGCTGGTAGGTATGCAGCTGGGCACAGTGTGATCTCGGCACCATGGGCTCAGCACGGTTGCCCTCCTACTTACCTCATACTCCTTTTAAAAAATTATTGTTCTGTGTGTGTGTGTGTGTGTGTGTGTGTATGTGTGTGTGCTCGCGCGCGTGCGCGCCCCTCCTTACTTGTCTGTATACCTCGTGTATGCACTCCCTGGAACTAGAGTTTCATATTGTCGAAAGCTGTCTCATGTAGGTGCTGGGACCTGAACCTGGATCCTCTGAAATGACAGCAAGTGCTCTCCATCTCTTGCCAGCCCTCCAGCCCCCAGCCTTACTGCTTTGCATACTGTGTATTAAAGATTGTCTCCATGTGGCAATGATTCTGAAGAGAGTATATTCAGAGTTCTTAAAACTGAACTGAATATATTCAGCGTAGTGAACATACATTGAAGGCCCTGAAATGAATCTGTTTAGCCTAGAATAGAGGACCAGAAACGAGCCGTCTGCTAGAAAGAATTAATTTGCATGAATTATGGGGGGGAAAAAAGACATCACTGAAGAAGCTTTTCCTTTATGGTCACCGTATAAACTTGGGTGTGTGAGCTCAGCCCTATGCAGGGTTGGCTGCCTCTGTGTAGATCTTGGGGTCTGGTTAATGGATGGCCTCCCTCTGCAAACAGCAAAGCTCAGTCAGTTAGGACCGACCAAGGAAAAGCTTCTCCCAGGTTGAGATTAACATTCTTAGAATACATACACCCTTCGTGGCCAACCTGAATCAAAGCCCCTGAGGCTAGCAGGCTTCCTTCCAGCCATTAATTTGGTCTTGTCAAAGCCAAAGATTAGCCACACACTGTACCTTTGTCATCGGTGGATACATGAGGTTCTTTTTTTCTTTTGATAATAGTTTAGGATAGTTTAGAATTTTAGGGAAATTCCCAGAACTTCACCGTCTAGACCCGTGGTTCTTAACCATCCTAGTGCTACGACCCTTTAATACAGTTCCACATGGTGTGGTGACCCCAATCATAAAATCATTTTCGTTGCCACCATTATGAGTCATAATGTAAATATCTAAGGTGCAGATGGTCTTAGGCAGACCCTGTGCAAGGGTTGTTCAGATGTTCAACTGATCTCCACGCCTGTGCTGGTCAGTGTGGCAGCTCTGCACTTAAAACGCACATAAACTGGTTCACGAAGAAGAAAGGCTTACGGACCTCCGTGTGTTGGGGGTTCAAATACACGGATGGCGCTTACACGGATTCAGATCCTGTGAGAATGACAGGAGCTGGCATGACATGGAACAAAACCGTCCCATCTCAAGTGTAGTGGGGTGGGAGGGAATGGGGGAATTGGGGAACTAGGGTTTTGGAGTTCCTTCGGAAGACATTCCAATAACCCGAGGGCCCCTCACAAGACCCTGTCTCCTAATAGGCTGCCGACCGAGTGTTCAACAGAAACACGGGTAGACAATTCAGTGACATCAGAACAGAGCTCTAGCCTACCCCTGCACTGCCTGAGCCTTGCACATGGCAGCTGCCACAGCCACAGGAGGCCCCTCATAATTGTCTCAGCGTGTTCTGGACATTTTGGTCTTCCAAAGCTCTGGCCAATGCTCTTTCCTGGAATTAGGAGTTCTTTCCTGCCTGACAGACTCTGACATACATCTCACCCACGATTGTAAGTAAAGATGTCTGCTGTCAGCTTTAATTTAGAAGGAAATTTTATTATTACTTTTTTGATTGTAGCCAAGTTTTTGAGTGACAGCTTAAAAAACGAAATTTCTTTATTTCAATACACATTGCATCGATTTATTTTTTTGGCAAAAAAAATGTAACTGAACCATTCATAAGAATACATTAATTGCCTTTGCAATACTGCGTAACTATTGCTGCTGTACTCTCAGTTTTTAAAAACAGCCCTCCTACAAAAACTCCATACCCATTTAACAAAATAACAGAACCCCCGTCCCCTCCCCACTAGCACCTTATACCTGTAGCATGTGCCAGATTTCCCTCCATGCCTCAGCTCTCTGTGTGAGGCCTGGCATGTGATAAAGCTCTCCCAAGCTCAGAAGCAGTTCAGGGAAGAGACCAGGATGATGGCTCTTATTATCTGTGTGTGCATGACTCTGGGGTCAGGCCCAGAGCCTGCTTAGAATGTGCTCTGCCACCAAACTGTCTGTTTCACACTTCTTCATTTTTAAGCCTGGGAGAAATTGAGCTATGCATATCCGCTGTGTTTCCGTTTATCCATCTGTCTGTTACCAATATGTGGGTCGTTCCCAGCTTTTAACTACAGGGAACAATGTTGCTGCAAGCATGAGCATGAAGTTCCCCTAGCTCGTGGTGGCTTTAGGAGTGAAGTTAATGGATGAGACAGTGGCTGTAGGTACAGCCTTGTGAGAAGCTCCAAGTTGATCTCCACAGCACCGTTTCACATTTTTGCCCGCCAGCCACGTGGGTTCCTACTTCTTCACACCCTCACTAACACTTTCTCGTCTCCCCTTTTAAAATTAGGATACAGATAGAAATATAGTTGTTCTGGTTTAAATGGCAGCTCATTGTCGTCTTGGTTCATTGGTTCACATTTCATATTTACAGATAGTAGCAACCGTCTAAAGTGCTTTTGTTACCTACATGTGTGTGGAGAAGCATGTGTATGATCTCGTTTTATACATTGTCTCATTGTGGTGATGCTGAGCATGTCCATAGAGAAGGTTTAACTATTTACCGATAATTAATTAAAAATTACTTTTTCTTCCCATGTGTTGTATCAGTATCTGCTCCAGTTAAACACTTGTTTTTAAGGGTACAGTGTTCATTGTGTGAGTGGTTGTGTTCAATAGATCATGCATGACGTTAGATCACTGTATTAAAAGACTGAATCTTCAAACAAACAAACAAACAAACAAAGCCTTAGGATCTCTCCATTTTAAATCCAGGTTATTGAGAGAGTGTTCGAAAAACTACAGAGAAAAGTGCTTGCACTTACCTGTCACAGACGCAGTTGCTCAGCACGGGGCTTGGGTAATAAACAGTTGCCTCTGCTTTTGTCATGGCAGGACCCGGGGACTCTGTTCTCCATCCGGGTTGTGGGGCTCTCCTTGGCCTGCAGCTACTTATCTCCGCAGGACAGCCGGCCCCTGTGTCACTGGGCAGTTGACAGGTAAGGCTGATGCTCATGCTTACTGAGCTAGGCTTACCAAAGAAGACGACTTAACAATCAAGTTACTGACAATACCAGCCATTCTTTATCACTTCCTCTCTAGAACCAGCTACCTTGTTGGGTCCGTAGGCCATTTTTACTCCTTCTCCTCACCCCACCCCCATGTCCAAGAATGGCAACTTCAAAGATGAGGGAGCAACGAGATTACCAGCGATTAACTTGCTCAGACTTACCGAGCTGGTGAACAGAGAAGCCTGAGTTTGCCTTCAAATTCGTCTAACTGATGCACCCATCATGTGGTTAGGTCACGTGGTTAGGTCATGTGGTCAGGTCATGCTAATAGATCCAGTTAGAATGAGTGGCCCTCTGAGGTGGAGGAGGATGCTACAACTGGATCACTGGGCCTAAATTGTAAAAGGACGTGGACCACGGCTAGGCGATAAGGCCACTGTGGCTGACAAGCCTGTGCCTCCGACTTCGTGATGCCCCACATGTCCCTTCAATAGCTTGTCATGGTGCAGCCTTGTGTGGACTTCTTCAGGACTGGCGCAGTGTCCAGCCATGGCTTTAGTCTCTGTATTAGTGACCTGATGACGTTTGTTGATATTCCCGTAGAACACAATCCGCAGTGAGGTTCTCTGGTTCCCTGGCTTGGGCAGCTTGAGCTGCTGAGTTCAGAGTGTAGAGGCGGACCTGAAAAGCCTCCCCAGAATATTCCGCTGATACACCTTCCTTAGCTGATAAGTTAGGGAGAGAGGAGCCCTGTCAGCCAGGGCCTGCTGGTCTGACAGGAAAGGAGTTACTGGGGAGGAAGGTGCGCTGTGGCATTCAGGGTTGGAGGTGACAGTTACATTCTTCAACATGTGCTCCATAGGCGGGGACCAGCCTGTAGTCGGTTGTTACCAGTCCACGAGAGGAAGTTAGAGTGCGTGAGAGCAGTAGGGCCAAGTAACGCATAATATATTGAAAATAAGGGATGGAAGCTGTTCTTGCTGTGTGCACTCTGAGCAAGCGTGCGCGATCGCGCTTTGTGTCCTCTGTGAGTCCACAATCTTGAATGTCCTGGTGACAGTCTGTTTAGGAGACAAATCCTAAACAGTATCTTGGTGTAAGCTTGGCCACTACTGTGTCCGCTCTTCTTGATTCAGGGTACACCACCCTACCCTCCACTTCCTTCCTCTATGCCTCCTGTTCTTTTCTGAAAGGAGGGGAACCCCAGAAGTTGAGGGTAGCTGTAGTTCTGCTCACTGAGATTTTCTGCAGACCTTGGGGCTTGAAGAGTTTGGGGCCTGCAGGGGGCTCCTTCTGCATTGTTGCAGGTGGGGATGTTCCTTCCCCTGGGCCTTCATCAGTGCTGGCTTTTTGTGTGAGAGGCTCATTTGGGTGTTTGTCTGGCTTAGTAGTGCTCTGACCAAGTACCTGACGGGAACACCTTCAGGGAAGGGAAGATTGATTCTGTTCATAGTCTCAGTCCATGGTGGCCAGCCCTGTTGTTCTGGGCCTGTGGTGAGGCAGAACATTGCATACAGAGGAGAGTCTTTACCTTGGATTTGCCAGGAAACAGAGATACAGGAAGCAGTTAGAGATAAGGATCACCCGGTGACTTACTCCAGCTAAGCTTCCCTTTTAAAGATAATGGCAGCAGCTGTTGTTAAGAATCTGTGGGAGACACTTCATATTCAGACCATGGCAATATGTAAGTGCCCCGTAGACATGGAAGGGGCATCGGGGCCTTCGGTGGAACAGCTAAGCAGGCCTAGAGCTCCTGCTCCTGAGAGTGTCAGTACAAGGCATTGAGAGGTAGGCAATGCAAGGCTTTCAGCTGACTTAGGAACCTTCAGTGTGGTCTGAAGTCATTTCGGGGTATTCCGCTGGGGAGGAGGGGCAAGGCTGGCTGCTGAGCCCTGAGAGCTGTGGGAAGGAAGCTGTTTTCTGACAGGTCTCCTCATTCTTTCCTCAGGGCTTTGCACCTCAGGAGACCAGGAGGCCCTCCTCATGTCAAGCTGGCTGTGGAATGGGATAGCTCTGTTGCAGATCGGTGAGTTAATGGAATTTTACTCCTGCAGAGCTTGGCTGGGACATGCCTCTACCTACCAACCTTTCCTGGGCCCAGTTGGAGTTTCCCTTAGTTAGAATATAAGATCCTGCACACACTTACTTCAATATAACGGGCCCCATTCCTCTGAGAGAACTTAGTCTTTGTAAACAGCCACGATGGGCATGGCAATCATGACGGGGGTCAGTAGGGGTGTTAGGAGTAGTCAGTGCTCATGTAACCCTCAGCCTGGCCCATTCTCTGCTTGGAGCACTTAGTTCCTATGGGCTATTGGTTTCATCTTCGTCAGCCCCCATGTGGGAGGACTGTGAGGTTATCACTACTGTTGTCCACTTGCTGAAACTGAGATGCGCAGAGGTTAGGCAGTGTACAAGTCACGTAGCTCATGTGCACAGAGATGGAGTTTGAACCCAGGCTGGCTGGCATGAGTCTAGGCTTTCATCACTCTACTTGGCTCTCATACCTCCTCAGCCCATCAGCTAGACTTTGTAAGAGGACACGTTTCAGTCCATCGAGGACTTACTCATCTCTTGCCAGCTACTAAGGCTGGTGCAAAGTTGGGAAAGCCTAGGACTTGAAATTTTGAGGAGCTGGTGGATGATTCCCTAAGAGTGAGTGCAAAATCAGGGGTGCAGGAAGTTATAGGAACCCACGGGAAGGGTAGTCGTGCCTGTCCGATGCCCTGCCCAGGTTTTCTGTGTGGAGACAGGTAGGTCCTTCTGGGAGGGAGAGCTCTGAGTGCTGTGCCTCTCCTTCCATCCAGCCTGTTTGGGAGCCTTCAGGAGGAACGGGTCCAGGATGCAGACAGCGTGTGGCGGCAGCAGCAGGCACACCAGCAGCCCAGCTGTACCCTGGACGAATGTTTTCAGTCTTACACCAAGGAGGAGCAGGTCCCGCCCCTGGCTGGGAGGGGGCTGGCTGGCTGCCTGTGTGCACATTGGTGGTCTCACGGTCCTGATGGCTTCCCTTCCAGCTGGCCCAGGACGATGCCTGGAAATGCCCTCACTGCCAAGTCCTCCAGCAGGGCGTGGTGAAGCTGAGCTTATGGACCCTGCCCGACATCCTGATCATCCACCTGAAGCGCTTCTGTCAGGTTGGGGAGCGAAGGAACAAGCTCTCCACGCTGGTGAGGTTCCCGCTGTCTGGACTCAACATGGCTCCCCATGTAGCACGGAGGAGCACCAACTCCAAGGCGGGGCCTGGCCCCTGGCCCTCCTGGAAGCAGCCGATCTGCCTTCCCACTAGCTACCCGCTGGAATTCCTCTACGACTTGTACGCCGTCTGCAACCACCATGGCAGTCTGCAAGGTGGGCATTACACAGGTGAGCCTTGCCATGCCTCTCCGTGTGCGGCAGCCATTGCCGGCGACTCGGCTGCAGCCAGAGCTGCAGGGGTTCCCGGAATTGGTGCTTCTCGAAGGCCAGCACTCTCCCCATTCCCTGTGGTGGGTTTGACACCCACTGCACACAGGGAAAAACGAGACGGTGCCTAAGGCCTCCGGGAAGCTGGTGACTTGCATGGATAGTTGCACTTTGGTGTTGGTGACTACTCGTATTTCCAGACACACCAAATACAAGGGCCAGAGCCAAGATGTGCTGTTTGCCTTCATTCAAGATTCAACGTTGGGTCTGGGTACCACATGGTCACTTGCTCTCTGCAACTTGATCAGCTGCAGTTTTCTCTCCTGGTCTTTGTCTCTTGCCAAGAGGCGTTTCTTTGGTGAGGGGTAGAGCAATATTTATCTGTGACTCCGAGAATAAACGTTTAGAACACAGTTAGGGATTCTGCTGGTTCTGTGAAGTGGCAGTAGGAGGCTGTCCATGCAGAGCACCGCAGACCGTCATCTCCAACTTCATTTACGGGAGCACACCTTCTCGAAACTTCCTGAGGGAGGGCAGTGCAAGTGTGACGCTTGAGTAGTGACTGTCTTTAAAGGCTTTTACTGCTACTCTTGACTGGAAGCCTGGCTGGACATGGGCTTCTGGGTCAACGGATGCTGTCCCATAGTCTTCAGACAGCCACGCTCCACGGTGGGTGGGGCTGAGGAAGAGGCTTTTGCTTTGGAGATGGGCAGCCAGTTTCCTTTCCTCTGTCTGGGATCTGGTTTTCTCTCTGGAAGCTTTCAGGTCCTTTATCACGAGTGCCCTGGAATTTCACACACTGACCCCCTGTGTGTGAAAGCACAGTGAAGCACTGTGCTTGGCCTTCAGTTCTGGAAACTTCCCTGTATTTATTCTTAAAACAACAACAACAACAAAAAAAAAAACTTTAAAAACTCACAACATAAACACATAGTGACACACTACAGCTTCCACGACCAGATTTTTGTTTCCGTGGGGGGGGATGTAGGGGTGAGGTTGCAAGAGTGGAGAGCAGGTACCAGGAGAAGGGGAGATGAATGCGACTGGGGTGCGTGAGTAAAGCTCACAGAGAACCAATAGAAAGTTAAAAAATTCACCCTCTCACTCATTTTTTTTTTTCAAGACAGGGTGTTCCTGTGTTGCCTTGGCTGTCCTGGACTCGCTTTGTAGACCAGGCTGGCCTCGAGCTCACAGAGATCCGCCTGCCTCGGCCTCCCTGAGCGCTGGGATTAAAGGCATGAGCCAGTGCATCTGGGCCCCCTCGATCATTTTAGACACGAGAGTTGAATACTGTGTATATAAATTTGTAGCTGGAACTTTTTCAGTTCCTAATTTATCTTAGAGGTTTCCATCCTGGTACATGAAAGATTAGGACACACACCCCTCATTCTTTCACCCGCGTCTTAGGAATTTTCCAACACTACAAGCTATCAATGGGGTGAGATTTCGGAATGGAAATGGCTAGCATGTGTGTGTGTGTGTGTGTGTGTGTGTGTGTGTGTGTGTGTGTGTGT